TGCTCCTATGATGCTGCTTGGCCTGCTGTGTTCATCCAGCCCTGCACCTTGTTGTCTCGGATTCTCCAGCATCTGCAGTTCCTACTATCAAGGTCACTATGGTCTCTGTCATCAGACAGAGGGGGAGACAGAGTTGAACCTGAAGGGACGAAGATGAGAAGGCAGAGCCTTCATGGTGACCGCAGCCAGTACAGTAACTGAGACTGTTCTTCTGTATTGCGAAGGAGCTGTGCAGCCAAATCAGCTGGATAGTTGTTCAAATATTTGAAAGAAAACCCGAGCTCTGCCTGTGTTGACAAACTAAAGCATCGTATTGGTTGAAAGTGGTCCTAAACTAGCTGGTGGGCTTTTTCTTCATATAACACACACAAAGGTAAGAATTAGGAGCAAGATCAGGCCATGCGGTCCCTGGAACCTGCTCGGCCATTTGATAGGGTAATGCGGAGCTGATTGTGGCCTCTATTTCCTGTCTACCCCCATTTCCTTTGACTCCCTGTAGTCAGTGCACATGGCAATATCCTAAATAATGTTGTTGTGCAGTAATTTTTAAAAAGCGCTTGCTTTTCCGTTTCCCACAATTGGAAGCGATGTTGGCAGTGGCTTCGCTTTTCAAAGGATTTCGTTACATTTTGTGTTTAATTATTTGTTTCGGGCTGATGGTGAAACTTTGGAGAATTGGCGACAAAGACGTTTGGGAGGTAAAAAGGAGAGGTTACAGATGAAATCGCAGCGGATTGGACGCCAGCAGAACTGGAGAGATAGACGCTGCTGGACGAATCCCACATAGGCTGTTACAGAACCGGAGTTCCTCGGACAGTTGTGAGCAGCTGGGCGTTGAACACTTACAATATCTCCCAGCTGCTATCTATTTAAAAAAAAAGCACAGCAATTTACCCGATCTGAAACGAAATCCATCAATGGCCTCCAGCGAGTTGCTTTGTCAATGGATTTTAGGAGGTGTTGCAAGTTTTAAAATTGAGAGCGGATGCCTGAATGAGATTGTCTGATATTGAACCCGTGATATTGGACATTCGGTATAGATGCAGCAGTATTTAAACACTTGCTAAAATCCTTTAAAGATACAATGTGACTTGTAACTGTGCCTTTGTGTTTGCGTAGGTTATGCTATTGGAGGCACAACTTGAAAAGACGACCTGGAGCCCCGAAGAAAGGTTTTATTCCCTTTGCCAGTGAAATGGGGTATGGTGCGTTGCCAATGGCAACTTGAAAAGATCAATTTCACTTTCGTTCGGGGCAGGTTTACGCTGGAAACAAACTGGATTTTTCTGCGGCTCACAGAGATTCTATTAAGCCTGCTAAAAGCAACTAAGAGACAACAGGTAGCGTGTGTTCAGTATTACAAACTGTTCTTGCACAAAAAAGGGGGACATTTTATTCAAGCATCCTAATTGAATTTGTATTGTCCTTATTAACGCTGATGCTTCTGTGCGAATTAGTCTTCGTTTCAGGAACACAGGCCCCACAGACGGTTATTCACCATGGAGAACATTTCAGACACTGGGGCTCTGAATAGATCCTGTTACGGTTCGGAGGATATGTGTGAGTTTTACAATGGGACAGACACTAACTTCACAGTACCTGAACAGTACCAAGATTTCTACATAGTGCTTCCAGTGATCTATTCTGTGATCTGTGCTGCCGGGCTCACAGGCAACACGGCGGTGATTTATGTCATTCTCAAAGCTCCTAATATGAAGACAGTGACTAACATGTTCATTTTAAATCTGGCGATTGCAGATGATTTGTTCACCCTGGTGCTGCCCATCAATATAGCGGATCACCTCCTATACTACTGGCCCTTCGGAGAGATCATGTGCAAGCTCATCCTTTCCATTGACCACTACAATATTTTCTCCAGCATTTATTTCCTGACGGTTATGAGTGTAGACCGCTACCTGGTGGTCCTGGCCACCGTGCGCTCCAAGAAGCTGCCACAGCGCACTTACAGGGCGGCCAAGATCATCAGTCTCTGCGTCTGGCTCCTGGTCACCCTCATCGTCTTGCCGTTCACCATCTTCGCCGAAGTCTACACCGATCCCATGAACAGGAAGAGCTGCGTGCTGGTGTTCCCCAGACCAGAGCGGGCCTGGTTGAAAGCCAGCCGCATCTACACTCTGATCTTGGGCTTTGCAATCCCGGTTTCCACCATCTGCCTGCTCTACACCATGATGCTCTACAGGCTGAGGAACATGCACCTGAACTCGAACGCCAAAGCCCTGGACAAAGCCAAGAAGAAGGTGACACTGATGGTCTTCATCGTGCTGGCCGTGTGTCTGTTCTGTTGGACTCCCTTCCACCTGACCACCATTGTCTCTCTGACCACCGATGTTCAAGAGACGCCTCTTGTGATTGGTATCGCCTACTTTATCACCAGCTTAAGCTACGCCAATTCCTGCTTAAACCCCTTTCTGTACGCCTTTCTGGACGACAGTTTCCAGAAGAGTTTTAAGAAATTATTGGAGTGCAGAGCAGCGTAGAAGGAAAAGAAAAAGGTTAGGCAGGGGTTTGACCAAAACCGGGGCTTGATTTTATCAAGTATGATTGTTTTAATCTAAACGCGACAGCGCAGTGCTAACTACAAACTTCCCTGCCGCCACTTCTTGTTGCAGGCTTCTTGTGGCTGATGCTAAATGGTACCATTTGTGAAAGATCACTCCGGTAACATCCACCAGCTCGGCAGTAAAACCCCCCTGAGGGAATTACAGCAGTGCGAACTTTTTTATCCTGGCTGTGCTCGTGTTGACTGTGACCCGCCGGAATGATTCTACATTAACTTGAAATTTCGATGTATCTGTAGGATGAGCCCGTGAGGGTGAGAGTTAAATTAACTTTTTGTTTGGGTAGCCAGGAACGTCATCTCGGGAGATATTGCCGTTATGTATGTGCAGATTTATGCAGAAAGGGTAGTATTGTACATTTCAAAGGGCCAATGATAACATCGACGTCCTTCATATTTTGGGAGATTGCATGTTGAATGCACTAAGTTCTGAGCCTTGCCTCCTGAAATTCTTTATGATCTAAAAGTTGTTGCACTTTCTCTTCCCTATTACTCTTCATGTGTATTATCTCATTTAGACAATGTGTAAACCTATGGCTGCTAGCTGTTCTGCTGTTGTATTTTCATTGTCCTTACTCTCGAATCATGTCAATAAACCTCGCTAAAAATTCTTTTATGCCTGTTGCATTGTAAATCCTGGAGTACGGAGTGCATGGATTAAACATATACTGGAGTGCAAATCAACACTTCTTATCCAATTTTTTAACCAATATATTTGCACTTACTCATTTTATAATGGAAGTCATATGCTTTAGAAATTTGAACAGGTGTAAATGTCAGAGATCAAATCTCCAAAAAAAAATATAAACTGAGCTAAAATCACATTTCACTTCTAAAATGAAGTTTGTGGAAGGTCACTGAATATGCAAGGATAGAACAACTGCAAACACAATCAAATATGTTGCCGTTATTTTCTTGTATTTTGTTTACTAGGACTACCAAATATATCAGTAGCAATAAGATAGGATCCAGTCATGATTCTTAATGAAGTTAAACCTGTTACCATTTGTCTATAGACAATAATGTCACAATCATCTCAGACCCAAGGGTTAAACATTCTCATTGGCCTATAATCAGTTATTTAAAAATACATTTTTTAAAAAAATGTTGTTCCTTGTGAATTAACTTCTTCTGTTGAAGAGGATTAGATTTTTGGCTGAACGTAAAGATAATTTTGAAGGCGGGAGTGCCTGCAATTTTTTGCTACTGCCTAAGATGTAGCTCCGTCAGTGAATGTTCCTGCTGCACATTGGGCTATATTGGCCCCATCTACCCATGAAAGTAGATAAATAGGTCCACTAAAGTGCCAGTCAGGGCACACTTCACAGGCAGCAGGCAGGCTCCCAGACAGCAGGCGTGACCAGTAAATTAGTTGGGAGTCTCCAGGCAGCCGGTTCGGGAGCAGAGGTGAAAGCACATCCATCAAAGTAGCTCAGCATGAATCACTGGGCAGTGAGGGCTACAGTCTCAACCACTGGCCCCTCTGTGCAATACTGACCTGGCACTTCTATCCACAGTATGTATTTTTCCAATTTACAATTATTCAGAGGATGCCTCCAATTGGAGACCTCTTTGTGGTCCCTCACCTACATTGTCACCTATGCTGGTGACCACCAACGGCATCAGATGCCTCCAGGTACAGAGCTCTGTCTGGTCTCATTTGTTGGGCCAGGCCAATTTTCACCACGGAGGCAACAAACAGGAGCTGGGATTGTGTTAAGTCAGAAAGCCAACTCTTTTGGGAATCTAATTTGAATCACAATTTTCACAGGACTGAATCTGCCCATTTAGAACCAATGGGCAGGAATGTGGCTGGATTGAATATAGCAGTACTGATTTGAACATGACAGATTAATTGTCACTGAAGTTGCTTGTTCTCCTGAGGGACAGATCTATGCTTTGTGCCAAAGTCTTCCAGATGGAAGACTCAGCTTCACATGGAAGTGAAGTGAGACAGAAGACTGGTGCCTGGACCAGGGAGGACCTTCATTTTATCGTTTTTGCCCTGGATCTAAGAATGGAGGTGATGCATAAGAGAAAGGTGGTAGGGTAGTAGGAAGAAGCCACCTTCTGGCATGGCAGGGTCACCTCTCTGTTCAGCATCACCTCCTTTGGCTTCCAATTTGACCCCTTACTCACCTCTTGATCCTTCTCTAAAGGACTGTCTCCTTCTAACAATTCACAGTCATCCCTCTCTCTGGAGGGCAAAATCAGGAGAGCCCAGCAGATTACCACAATGACAAAGATCCTTACAGGATATTATCAAATGGCCTCACCTGAATGCTTCTGGCAGTGGAACAGTATCTTGAGAAGCCCAATGGTCTGCTCAGCGGTTGTCCTGCTGATTTTTCTCACTCCCAATGATCCATTCACACATTTTGGAGGTTGTACCAAAGAACTGAGGCAGTCTAGACTGGCAGAGGATGAAAGACTCATGCCACCTGCTAGAGTTACATGGATCCTTGGTGCTGTGAGGCAGCAGTGCTAACCACTGAGCCACCGTGTCACCCAAATAGGTGACCAGAGAGTTGCAATAGTATGTAGCCATTCAGAGATGTTACAACATCTGCAGTTGATCCTTGGAAGGAGTCAGAAGTGAAGAAATTCAAAGTGACAATGACACTTGTGGCCACCAGTATGACTACCAATGAGAATGATCATGTGATGTGGGGTCTTTGTTGGTGAGGGGACACCATTCATCAGGAGAATCAAAATTTCCTGCTCTTGTGTCCTCCTACCACTGAAAGTCCCTCAAAACCATAAGGCATAAGAGCAGAAGTAGGCCAATCAGTACAAGAAAACTGGTCCGCCATTAACTGAGATCATGACTGATCTGAGAGTCCTCAACTCCATTTTCCTACATTCACCATAACACTTGATTCTCTTACTGAGTAAAAAACCTGTCTATCTCAGCCTTGAATGTACACAATGACTCAGCCCTTCACAGCTGTGGTAAAGAACTCCACAGATTCACTACCCCTAAGAGAAGAAATTCCTCCTCATCTCTTCCTAAAAGAGTGACCAATTATTTTGAGATTATACCCTCTGGTCCTAGACTCTCCCATAAGGGGAAACAAACTTTCAAACCAAACTTGTCAAGTTCCCTAGGAATATTATATGTTTCATTAAGGTCACCCCTCACTCTTATAAACTCCAATGAGGAAAAGCCCAAATGCTTAACCTCTCCTGATGAGACAGTACCTCTGTATCCAGGCTTAGCTTAGCTAAATTTCTCCAGACTGCCTCCAATGCCAGTATATCGAAGAAAGGATAAGAGGCCCAAAATTGTTAATAGTATCCCAGCTGTGGTCTGACTTGTGCATCATATATTTTTAGCAAGAATCCCCACTTCTCATTAAAGTAAGGGCTAAAATTCTATTTGCCTTTCCTACTACCTGCTGACCTTGGCTGATAGGTTTTCGAGATTTATGTGCTGTATGTTTCTGTAGTCTTTCTCCATTTAAATAATATTCAGCTCCTCTATTCTTCCTGCCAAAGAGCATCACCTCAGATTTTACATATTATATTCCATTTGCTAAGATTTTGCCCATTTGCTCAACCTGTCTATATCTCTCTGCAGACTCTTTGTGTCATCATCACTACTTGGCTTCCCACCTATTTTTGTGCTATCTGGAAACTTAGCTATAGTGTATTTACTTGCCCCGTCTAAATCATTCTTATATATTGCAAATACTGTGACCTCAGCAGTGCCCCTGTTGCACTCCTCTAGTTACAAGCTGCCATCCTGAAATGCTCTCTTGTCCCAACTCTCTGACTTCTAGTCATGAAACCCACCTTTCTACTGGTCCCAAATTCTAGCATTAAATAAAATTTTCAGGCATGATAGCTCCTTCATAAAGCTATGCTCACTTTACCTACTCTTACTATGTATTTCTAATTATATTCCTATTGCTTATTTTATAATTAACTCTAATATTTTCCCAATGACAGGTGATCAGCTAATTGACCTACACTTACCTGTTTTTTTTATTTCCTTCTGTTTTTGAATAAAGGTATTACATTGGTAGTTTTCCAATCCTTTGACAATTTTCCAAAATCATGGATTCTTGGAAGATTACTACCAGTGTATCCATTATCTCTGTAGCTGCTTCTTTTAATATCTTAGGATGTATCCCATGAGGTCTAGAGGAGTTAGTGGTCTTTAGCCCCATTAATTTATTTAGGTACTTTTTTTTCTAATGATGGTTATTATATTTATTTCCAGTTCCCCTCTTTCCCCAAAAAGAGGCTGTTTCATCTTTAAAAGAATGATTTCATTTTTCATACATTTTGTGTCTCAAAATTTTACAAATAATTATTAGCAATGCTTTATGAAGAAACTTTCATGTGACAACAATACAACCTGATCAGCACCTTTTATAATTTGATTATAAGACACAAAGAAAGGGTGATGCTGGAGGATGAAATTTCCATTCATATGAAGATAAGAAATAGGAACAGGAGTAGATCATATGGGACTTTGAGTGTGCCCCACTTTTCAATTACTGAACTTCAGACTTATGTCAAATATATTCCAAAAATATAAATATTTCAGTCTTGCATTTGCGCAATAATTTAGCATCCACAGCTGTTAGAGGATTGCAAATATTTGGAATTCTCTACACTAAGTGATTAAATTTCTTCTGCTTTCAGTATGAAATGGCTATCCCTTATCCTGAGAATATGCTCACTAGGTTTATTTCATTTGTTCATTAGATGTGGGCATCAACATTACCACAAGCATATATTACCCATTCTTAATTCCCTGTGAGAAAGTGATTGTGAACTGCCTTCTTGAACTATTATAGTCCTTGAGGTATAAGTATACATGCAGTGCTGTTAGGAAGGTGTTCCAAGATTTTGATCCTGTCTGCTTTCTCCGGACAAGGGAAACAATCTGTCTTCATCTACCTTGCCAAGGAGTGTTTCAATGAGATTTCATCCATCTAAACTCCCAGAGCGCAGAACAATTCTAATCACAGTTTAGTCTTCTGATCCTAGGAATTCAAATGCAAATAAATCTTCATTTTACACTTTCTAAAGCAAGTTCATCACTCCAAATCTGTTTACTGCAGCCCTGTACAATTGTTGCAAGACTTCTTTATAATTGTACTGCAACCTCTTGCAAAAATATAACAGCAATTATCTTCCTAATTGCTACTGTACCTGCACACTAATCTTTGGTGTTTTCAAGGGAAGAACACCCAAATCTCTGAATATTAACATGGATTAATCGAACAAAAGCAAAATACTGTAGATGTTGGAAATCTGAAAAAACACAGAGAATGCTGGAGAAACTAGTGACTTGCATGGGCCACAAATCCCCTTTTGTTTCAGATTGAACAATCTCACATTCAAACATAACGTAAAATTCCATCACATTGTGGCTCGCTCATCTCAAAGGGTGGCACAGTGGCTCAGTGGTTAGCTCTGCTGCCTCACCGTGCCAGGGACCTGGGTTCAATTATACCCTTGGATGACTCTCCGTGTGGAGTTTGTACATTCTCCCTGTGTCTGTGTGGGGCTCCTTTGGGTACTCCGGTTTCCTTCCACAGTTCGAAGATGTGCGGGTTAGGTGGATTGGCCGTGCTAAAT